ATAGGAGCAGCACTCAAGGATGGGGCGAGCAGCCACGGAGGCTCATGAAGAGTGAGAGGAAGCTTTGCTGAATGAACCATTATGGTGAAAACTGCTCTCCTGAGCCCGTGCTCAGCTGCTCGCATGCAGCTCCCTGGTCTGGGCCAGCAGGTTTGTGATTCAGCTCTTCCCAGCAGTGGGAGCATGGCAAGGAGCTGTGCCACCAGTGAGCCTGTCCCTAGGTGGGGAGTCCCACACCTGCCCTGGAGGCTGGTATTTTGTGGGAGAGCATCTTCCCAAGGCTTGTCCAGCTTCAGGGATGCCCCTGCATTAAAGGCTGGATGTGTCTGCACGGTGCCGTGGAGCAGGGATTGAATCCAGCAGCCACAAATGCTCCCAGTCCTTGCCCAGCCTGTGGTGCCCATGCCCTGGGCTGAGTGTGGGTCAAGCTGACTGCAGTGCTCTTGGCATGGTCCTGCTTCCATGCTGGCTCTGGGGGTGGTTGCATCTTCCCAGTGCCCTGCTCAGGTCTGGGTTTGCTCCTGGGGTCCAGAACGCAGCTATGAGAGGGGCAGGTGGTGGTTTCTGGAGGCAGGATGTCGGGAGTGAGCTCCTGGGGGTGGCCCAGGGGACTGGGACAGCTGCTGTGCTGGGGGGCAGTGAGATCCCCCAGCACACCTGGATGTCCTCAGCGGATGTCCGGTTAGATCAGAGCTGGGATACACCAGCTGTGTTGGGCTGGGATGCTGTGACCCCGTGCTGGCACTGGGATGGTCCAGGGCCATCCATCCCCTTCCTGCAAGGCCTGGAGTGATGATGCTTTGGGAGGAGAGGAGTGTGGGGAGCTGGGGCCTGCAGGGACTCCTATTGTCCTGCTCCTGTTGTCCTGTCCTGGTGCAGCGCAGTGGCCTCAGGACACCCTGGACCTGCTCACATCGTGGTGACCCTGCAGCTCTAGGACTCGGTAAGTGCTCCCTGTGGCTGCACTGGAGAGCAAATGGTGTGTCCCAGCCTGTCCCCCACAGCCCCTGGGGACAGCTGCTCCCTCCCAGCCCAGGCTTTTCCCAGGCTCCAGTTCTGCCCTTTTCCTGAGAGCAGCCAAGTCCTTTCTCAGCTCACTTGCCTCTTCCTGCTCCCTCCATGCCGTGCCTGGCGGTTCCTTCTGCTGCTGGCAAGAGCCCTGAAGTGCCGTGGGAGAGGAGCAGCTCTGCTCTACACCATCACATCCCTCAAGCCCTGTCTGGGGGCAGCTACAGTGGCATGTGTTCCCTTCCCAATTGGCATTGCCTTTTCCTGCAGCCGCAGCTCAGGGCTGACTCCCCATCCCCAGGACCACCGTGGCTCCTTGTTTTTAGACCACATCGTCTTCCCATGCCAGGAAAACCCGCTGGCTCTGTGGGCAGTAGCCCATGCCCTCTCAGCACTGCATCAGCACCATGTCCTGAGCTGCTGGCAGGGGTAGAATCCATGCTAGGGTGGGCACAGGGTACCAGGCACCACAGTCTCAGTGCCTCCATGCGAGGAAGTAGCCAGGGGAGGGAGCGACAATGTCAGGATGCGGAAAATCCTCAGAGCTATTGAGTGTGTTTCCTCCTGCTCACTGTTCTCACACGGAGCTGCATTGTCTGCCATGCCTGCACATAAATATAACCCTGGGGACACAGGGAGCTCCTTGGGGTTTGCTTTTTCTTCACTCTGCACCGTTGGCAGCGGCTGGAAAGGGAAGGGTTGTGTCTGGTTTGGAGTTGCCCCAGTGGTGGGTGCTGTGGTCAGGGCTCAGGAGGATGCTCCTGCCCTCCCTGAGGGGCTGTGGGAAATGGGGTGCTGGGGAGCTGTGGGCAGAGCCCTGGGCATGGACAAGGCCCCTAGAGGGGAAAGGGGCTGTGCTGTGGCCCTGGTTGGCATCCCCCCTGCCCAACCCTCACTGTCCTTCCTCCCCCTCAGCTGTGATTCTCCTCCCACCGTGGCTCTTCCTGTGAGTCGGATTTAGACACTTTCTGTTTGGTATACACTGGGAAAGCTTAAAAATAAACTCCTTGATGCTTGGCCAGAGCCTCAGGCAAAACCTTTCAGGCAGGACAGCCCTCTGACTGTGGCAGACAGAACTGGGCAGGGGGAGCCCAGCACAGACTGGTCCTAACTGGGAGGAGGGCACGAACCTCCCTGCAGAGGAGCCACAAAGGCTCTTGGGGGGGCTGTGACTGGTGTCAGACCAACACCCCCAGCAGGAA